GTGAGAGTGACAGTGGTCCGTCCCCGCCCCTTTCTGTTTGCTGCAGCTAGGTCCTTCTCGTAAAAAGTGAAGTTCAAACCTTTAGAAAGCCTCACACTCGTGAGAGAGAAAAAGAGAGAGAGAGAGAGAGAGAGAGGGAGAGAGAGAGAGAGAGAGGGAGAGGACGTGTGTGCGTGCGTCTGTGTGATCACACGCGCACACACTGTGTATGATCATTGACATCACCAGCCAGTGACAAAATACAGTTTATTATTGACTATTTATAGATAATAAATTCTAGTTTATAAACTAGAATTTTTATATCTTCCCTTGTTACGTTGTATATTATAGCTAGAGATTTGTTATGAATGCTGTGGAATGAATGTGGTTTTCGTAAGACAGAGCCTTATATCATACAGCTCTTAGACAGTATGAGCAACTCAGTTCCATCAGTGGACCAGAGAAAACAAAGACAGGCGGTTATAAAGAATCCTCTATTTAATTAATCCAAGTTGTTAAAACACCATGCAGAGCAGCACTGAGCTACATTTACATTAGGGAGAGCACAGAAGCTTCAAACATAAGGACATTACAAAATACATCATTTATACACTTTGAGTTTGTTGAACACACACGAACACTCGCAGAGAAATCAGGATATCCACAAATGGTGCTCGGTGAGGTGATTACTGAGTTGATGATCGGACGTTGATGATAACGTTGGTGCTGTTTTTCCACTGCGGTCCTGCTACGTCTGGAACGCATCCGTGTCGCACTGGTCTGTAAAAGCCGTCTCTAGGTTGTTCAGCGGGATAGCAGTTTGCGTGTCGTCCAGCTCTCTGGTTGTTCTGGAGAATGGCTGCAGATGACATGTGTCCCTCCCCGAGGGAGAGGAAGTCCTCCAGAACATATCTTTTATCTTCTTCCTGAACTCCCTGCGCATGAGGCAGTACAAAACCGGGTTCAGGCAGCTGTTGGTGTGCGCCAGGCACACGGTGACCGGATGGAGGTATGTGTGCACCATGTAATAGGCTTTATCCCAGTTGACCACATTCAGTTTCACCAGAACACCCCAGAAGGTGATGGCGTGATTCGGCATCCAGCAAATGAAGAAGGAGAGGACCACGATGGTGACCGATCGGGTCACCGTGGCGCTCCGTTTCACCTGATTGTTGTTCATACTGCGCAGACGGACGAAACGCAGCAGCAACAGGTAGCACACCGTCACTATCAGCATGGGGAACACAAAACCTACCAAAACTTTTTGAAGATGGTGAAGCAAAAGCCAAGGCTTGCCGTCTGGGAAGCCCATTAGACAGAGTCTCACCCCCGCCACCCTTCTTACCGTAGAGAACACTGCGGTTGGCAAAGAGGCCGTCATGGCGCAGAGCCACAGTCCGGGAATCACCCAGTGCACCGGGCACACCCGCTGCCGGGTCCTGTCCTTCAGAGCAGAAGCCACGGACCAGTACCGAGTGACGCTCATGGCTGTGAGGAAAAACACGCTGGCATACATGTTCATCACCGTCACTGTGAGAATGATTTTGCACATGGCGTTTCCAAAGGGCCAGCTGAAATCCAGAGCTATGTCCACCGCCCAGAACGGCAAAGTGAGCACAAACTGGAAGTCCGTCACCGCCAGGTTCAGGATGAACAGGTTGATACTGGGTCTCTTTCTCCGACCCCTGCGCGCTTTCATCAGGAAGAACACCAGCAAGTTCCCCAGGAGTCCCGCAGCGCACACGACCGAGTAGACGGTGGAGATGAGAATGCGCAAAGTCGGAGATCCATCCGCTGGCACGTCAACATCATTCAGGCTGCTGGTCCGGTTCTGCTCCACCGAGGATCCGTTCCACAAAGTCGTGTTGTTGTGACTTCGCAGCGCTGCCATTCTGTCCGGTAACAGCTGTGAGCCTCACCTCCTACGCCCCCACAGAGCACACTCTGTCTGCGTGGTCAGGTGAACAGAGACCTCGATGGCCATCTCCTGAGTGGGGTTCTCCACTCAGGAGGAGCTTCGCAGGGAGACACTTTGTTTCCAGTCTGTACCCGACTAATGAGCCTGTACGCACGCCTTGACCCAGGCGCTGCGCGTTCCCGAGGAGGCAAGTGCACGATGGGACTCTGACGTGTCTTTTTCAGGCCAAAACCAAGTCGTGGCTATGGCAAGCCGTTTTAACATAAATTCGGTTTTACCGCCCTTACATTCCAGATATCTCAAATTGTTTTAGAGACGTTTTAGCGATTTAAGATATCTCCAATTATATTTCGACTAGACAAAATAACTATTTGAGATATCTCTAATTACATTCTGATAAGTCGAAATGACGTCAGATTTACCATTGACTTGTATGGAGACTTCAATTCAAGATATCTAAAAGACTATTTGAAATTCACATTTCAGATATCTACAATTATTTTGGATAGGAGATATGTAATTTTGACTAGTGAAAACTAAATTATAGATATCTTAAAAGTAAATAATGACTTGACAAAACTAAATTAAAGATATCTTGAATTGTAATTTTGACTAGTCAAAATTTATTTTAAGATATCTCTAAATGAATTCGAGATATTTTGAATTACACAGCTTTTCTCTTTAAGATATCTTAAACTGACATTCCGACAAGTCCGAATGACAATGCTGATATCTTGAATTAGTATTCTGTCTAGTCAAAACGTCACTGACGTACGTAGCAATTTGAAAGTTTAATAAAACAATGAAAAATAGAGAAAACGAGAAAAGATGTTTGAAAATGTGCCAGTTTCACGTTGAAAATGATTTGACAATAGCAATTTTAGCTTTTCCAGCTGTTTTTAAGTGCATTCGGTTCGTCGGAAATGAATAAACATAAAATTCTTTGCAGATATCAGAAGCACTCTAATAGTTTATGAAGTTTTGCTATCTCCGTATTTCCAACATTGTCGAGCTCTTTCTAATTTGTGGCATTTACTGACAATTTTGTGCAGGACACATAAAATTCTGCAGGCAACTGTTTGGACACCTCAAAGGAGCTTTCATGTCATTCTTAATTCAGATATCTAAAATTGTAATCTTGACTAGTCATAATTGTGTTGAAGATATCTTAAATCGTAATTACGGATATGTGTCCCGTATATCTCAAATTATATCTCAAATTACGTCCAATGACGTAATTTGAGATATCTTGAAAGGAATTTTGACTAGTCAAAATGTAATTGAAGATATCTCGAATTATTATTCTTACTAGTCAGAATGTAAATACAGATATCTTAAATTATCATTCCGGATAGTCAAAATGTAGTTTTGTCTAGTCAAAATGCATTTTTAGATATCTGGAATGTAATTACGGATAGTCAGACGAAACCGAATTTATGTTAAAATGGCTTGCCATATTGTGTCTGCCTGAACTAAAAAAACGTCTGTCTGCCCTGTGCTGTGCTGAGGAGTAATAATATGTTAAAGACATGTTAAGAATTATGTAAACCTTCAAATTTACTGAGAAAACAGATTCAACACAGTTGATATCACACAAATATAAGGCTTAAATTGCAAAGGTGTAAATAGTGTTTCTTACTTTGTTAAAAACAAAAAAGTATTGAGAATAAATCAGGCAAACTTGCAAAAACTAATTTGTCTGAAATATCCATAGTTAACTGTCTTTTTAAATTCCTGAAACACTCACAGATGATTATGAATTTGCAGTATTTGATTTCTCAATTTCTAAAACAACTTTGTTTGTATATATCTAAGACCTTTGTAGTTTCATTTTACAGCCTGTTTGAGAACATTTGTATAATCACTACCCATGTCACATACATTACTCATATCTTTTCATTTTCTAATACAAAGTTGACATTATTCAAAATGTCTTTGTTATGACAACTTGACATTAACCAAGAAATCATTACTGA